CCACTTGGTCCGCCGGTTCTGGAACCAGGTTTTGACCTGAGCGTCAGTCATTTTGAGCGCCTTGGCCAGGGCGGCGCGCTCGGCGGAGGCCAGGTACTTCTGGCGGTGGAAGCGCTTCTCCAGCTCGCAGATCTGCAGGCGCGTGAAGGACGTGCGCGGCTTCTTCTTCTTGGGGGGCGTCCGGTTCTGATAGGGGTGACCTATACGGCGTGTTACAGTGAAGGGTGAGAGGGCCACTGGAGCGGGAGACAGACAGACGGCAGAGGCAAGCGGCAGAGCGTCAGGAGGCGTCCCAGGCCCGACTCCCCGCGACTCAGCGAGCATAGCAGCTAGACCCCAAAATCAGAGCCGACCAGGGCCTCGATCCTCCCTTCAGCCCTCAGCTCCAAGCCGGGGCCAGAAAGGGCCCCCTCCCGCCGCAAGCTGCAGCCGCTGCTGCCACCACGGAGGCCTCCCCAGTCCTGGGCTTCCACGTGCCCAACCAGACACTATACCACAGCCACCTCCCCAGTCTCCCTGAGGCAGCAGAAGATGGCAGCCCCCTAGGGCCCCCCACAGCTTCCCACTGCCCCAGGCCTCCAGCTTCAGAGAAGCTGCCCAATAGTAAGAGGCTGGACCCTGCCTGGTCCTGACCTAAGCCTCCATCACACAGCGATATACACAGACACATCACATACAACAGTGGCAAGTTATAGCTCTACACATCCAAACAAGCCAGCAGACAGGCACAGGCACTCAGGCAGACACGCACAGGACATGGCAACACAGGGCAGTCATATACTCCCTCCGAACCTTCCTTAGGCCTGAAGGACGAGGAGATGCGCCGTGGCTCCCCTAGGTAGGCCTCTGTGAGGTACCTTTTAGCAGACCCAGGATTACTGGGTTCCAGGCTGGGGCTTCCCTCAGAGTCCTTCCCTCATTCCAGCGCTGAGAGGACTTGGGTTGGGGCAGTGGAACCCCTTGAGTACAGGGCCCTTCCTAGAGCCCCAAAGTGGAGTGGCTGTTCTGCTTCTACGAACCTCCCCTCCCCCACAAAAAAACTTTTTGCCACAGACCTAGAGTCTGAGCCAAGGTTGGAACAGGAGCAGGGGGGTCTGGGGTGCCTTAGGGTCTCCTGGTCTAGGGTCTAGCAGCTCTAAGCTGCCTACCCCCCCCCCCTTTCACAGTTGGGCGCTGGAGCCCAAACCCCGCTGGAGTCCCGGCCTGTGCCTCCCTCCTCCTGCTCCTAAGGCCTGTCCGGAACCCAGACTCAACTCGTGGCTGCTTCCCAGCGGGCGTGGGGGCCTGGCTGGGCGGGAAGATCATACTCTCAGATCCAGGGGATGCCAAGGGAAGCGGGAAGTGAAGCCGGGGAAAGGGCCCGCGCCGAGCCAGGGCTGAGCGCCGACAGCGGAAGCAGGAGCGCAGAGAGCCGGGACTAACGGAGGAAGGCGGGGAGCAGGCAGCGGAGAGGAGGGCAGCCGGCGCCACCGAAAGCGCAATCGTCCCGGGAGTAGTCCTTTGGCGGCCAATCGATCCTGGGCCTGGCCGGTGCGTTATTTACGCCGGAGGGCCAGGGGTAGGAGGTGGAGCAGGCCGAGCCCGGACAGAGCCAGGGGTAGGAGGTGGGGGAGAAGGCCGAGCCCGGGCAGAACGAAAATGAAGCGGGCGGCTCAGCCTCACGCTGCCACCGACCTGGACGAAGCCCGCAGTTCGGGAGGAAAGGCCCGCCGGCTCTGCCGCTGTGCTCGGGCTCGTGGCCTCTGCTGGCCCGCAGCGCAGCAGACACTGGGACTTGGAGTGTGTGTGTGTGTGTGTGTGTGTGTGTGTGTGTGAGAAAGGGTGGTTCTGAGGAGTGACTGGAGGGAGAGGTGTGGGCTAGGGGGAAAGATAGACACCCCTGGGGACTTGGGCGGCTCAAGCAGCTGCAGGAATTGGAGAGTGTCTGAATGGGGCTTGGCTTGGGTCAGGAATGCCCAGCCAGCCCTGGCTGGTGGTTCAGTGGTTAGAGTGGCCACTGGTGCACCAGAGGGTCATGGTTCAATTCCCTGCCAAGGGCATGTCCCTGGGTATTCCCTTGCGTCTGGTTCTGGGGCTCACCGCCTCCTAAGAGAACATCGGCCGGGACGGAAGAAACAGTTTGTTCACATCGCGCCCTTTCTCTGAGATTCCGGGCCCCAAGTGCGGGCGGAATGTGTCCCGAAGCTACATTCCCCTTCCCTCCCTCTGACCCGGCCCAGGACTCCGCGAGGGGACTCCGGGAGCGCTTCTCAGAGCAGGGGTCCTGCGGGAGAGACGCCGCGGGCCCAGGCTGGGAGAACTCTGCCAGCCTGGCGATTCCTCGAGCATAGAAAGGTGGCAGGCGGCTAAACGTGGGGGAAGCACCAAGAGGAGCTGAGCGACCGACCGGGCAGGCACAGGGGGCTGCAGGGAGCCAC